CACAAGAGTCGCTCTTATCAGAAATGGAATGGCACAGCGGTCGGTGTTGCAGTTCTCGACATACCCAGCAGAGTGAAGCCAAACCCTATCTCTGACCACATCTCGCCCTCTCTGGCTTTTATCTTTCACTCTCTCGGCCTGCTTTCTGCGTTTCCCTGTAGCACTCTGCACCACATCCACGTTCAAGTAGTAATAAAACGTTTCAGATTCCAGAAACGGAATGCTGAAAGCAAATTACAATGAGGAAATGCTGCAAGACACCAGTGACAGAATGGACACAAACAGGCTCTGTTCCAAAACCTAGTCAGTTGCCTTGCTGACTACCGTCTCTTTCTCCCAGTCTCTGCCTCTCTCACCCCCTCTGCTCCAATGTCAGCTTTATTACGGCTTTAGGAGATAAAAGCCAATGATCCACAAAATGATGAATGCACAAACAGGCTCTGTTCCAAAACCTAGTCAGCTGCCTTGCTGACTACAGTCTACATAGGCAGCATTCTAATATAAGTGAATGATTTAGAACATTCTATGTCATATGTCATACAAATAGTGCTAAAAAGTGCAAGTACAGACATCAAATAAGCATAAATACACAACAATTATTGAGTAGAATAATCATATTTTAAACAGTTTGAACTATTTTAGTTATATTTCTCAGTATTGAATGAATTATATGCATACAATCTACAATTTGTACACTTAGAAAAAGGTACAAAACCACTGGGGCAGTACCCTCTCAAAAAATAATACAATGTAAATAATCCAATTTTGGTACTAATATGTACACTACAAGTTAAAAGTTTGAAAAAATTACTTTACTACTGATACTAAGTCTTTTATGCTCACCACGGCTGCATTTATTTGACCAAAACACAGTAAAAACAGTAATATTGCGAAATATTATTACAATTTAAGACGCATTAAAATAGAAAACAGCTACTTTAAGTTTTATTTTTTTTTTACTTTTGTTGTTTTTTTTGCTTACAAAAACTTTGGAATATTATGGTTTCCATAAAAATATTAACAAGCAAAAACATTTTTCAACATTGATAATAAGAAATGTTTCTTAATCAGAAAATCAGCATATTAGAATAATTCTAAAGGATCATGTGACACTGAAGACTGGAGTAATGATGCTGATAATTCAGCTTTGCATAACAGGAATAAATGACATTTTAAAATATATTACAATTGACAAAAGTGGTCTTAAATGGTAATAATAATAATGGTACCTTTAAGGTACTAATATGCACCTTTTAGTTGTAAATAAGGTAAAATAAGGTACCTTTTGAAAG